TTTCTTTGTTGTTAATACTCTTGTTTTCCATTCTAAAAAACCAACAGAGTTTTTAGCCTCGTTTCCTTGAAGACGCCCTAGCACGCGTCTGTCTTACCGCATGCCTATAAACAATGCATCACCAGTTCACGGGCAGCCTAGTATGGGTTATTGTACTTTCCTTAAGAGGCAAGCTTTTGACTTGGATGAGTAAAAAGTAGAATGTGATTACTGGATGAAGTGCAGAGGCATAACTTAGGGCAATGACACAAGAAGTCTGCAAATTATTATGGCCTAATATAATTTCAAAAGATTTAATGATCTATAAGAAGGGCCTTTTAGGACACCAAGTCTACCATTAACATTGCTCACAATACTAAGGTGGGAAGGGCCAAAAAGTCTGTCATCAGTATTGCTCACAATACTGTACAACATGATATAACAAAGCACATTGAAGTAGATAAAAACTTCATGAACTAATTTTAACTCCATATATCTCAACTAAGGGTCAAACTACAAATGTGCTAACAAAGGAACACAAAAGTACGAATTTTCATTTTTTTTTTAAATAACAAGTACTTTTTTTAAACAAAAAGTATAAAATATATATTAAATCATCGGCACTAAGGGAGTACTACCCATTTATAAGATATTTACAAGTCTGTTAGAGTTGAAATAACAAGTATAACGTGTACCATTAAGTATGAGCACTCAAATACGAAATTCCAGTGACTTATCTTCAAGATGGGAATAAAATATGCATATTCACCATCTTGAGGGGAAGTGTTGAAAAATCCCCCAATCTTCCTAAAAAAATAGTGAATCCCAGTTAGGGAATCTCAATGGAGATTTAATTTGTAATAACTAAATATATCAATATATATATATATGCTCCCTTTCAATCACAAGAAATTCAACTTCTCTCTAAATTCCATAATAACATCCACCTGGAAGCACACCTGCTAACCGGCAATGGATGGTCATTATCAACATATACATAAAATGCACAACAAGACTAAAACTATGACCTGCATTGTTACAAACACTATAGAGTGAAGAACAAACCTGAAGTTTGAGACTGTTGAGAAAGAAACTTTTCCTCAAAAGTTGACTTTGGGTTTGAGAGAGAACTGGGTTTTGAGGAAAGCCACCTATACTGATTTAAAACATGCCAGACAATCCAGTGCTTAGAACACCAGCATCACAAGTGAGCAGAATCTAAAAGAAATTGCATTTATAACTAGGAAAACAATAGAGTCTAAGATAGCAGATCTACAAAGCAGAAGTACAATGAAATTTATTTGTTATATGCCAGAGACTCAAAACTCCTCAAAGAGACATCAATCACACATAAAATCAACCAGAAAATTTCCATTAAAATTCACATGTAAATTCCAAAAGAAAAATTGGTTTGTCCAACACCAATTTTTCTTTTGAAGAATATCTCAAAGAATAAAGTACTGTGGCTCACTGATGGCAACCATCCAGATGGATAATGAAACCACCATGAAAGCTAAGGACAATGCTAGTCAAAATATCAGGTCAGGCTATGTGCGAACCAGGTAAAAGGTAGCCACAAAAATGCTAAAAAGATTTGAAGTTCATATATTTTAATAACAACAGAACTGCTTCCTACCCCCAACCATCCCCCGCTCAAACAAAGGGACCTAGAACAAACCATTGAAAAAATGGATTTATATTTTTAATAATAATAACCAACAATAATTTTGAACGATGGACTTGTTTGGTTTATATCAATTTGCCCATATGACAATTTCTCAGTATGCCCATCACTAGGATTACACAAATTGTATTTTGAGTCCTTAGAATTCCTGAAGGTTTCTGAAGTAAATGCTTGATAATTCAAGCAACTACATAGGGTCATTCAAGACTACAAGTTCCACTATAGACTAATCTTAAAAATATTGCAAGCCAGAGCCTGCCTGCATTTTATGAAACAATCAACTCCATTGAGCATCATTTTAGTTTGTGACCTCTCTATCGTACTAATCATAAATAGATGTATTAAAGAAGTCAGACAACAAAATTATTGAATTTTGGGCAGTTAAATACCAAGAAAACTACAGACTTGTTGAGATAATCAGATATATCAAAGAAAGAAATGAAAAACAACCGGAGACACCCCTGCCAGCCACTTTGTAACAACCGCAATATCCTGCCGCCACTCATGCTCACGCTGCCAGCAAGTAGCATCCCTGACCAGATGAGGTGCCCCCTGGAAGAACAAACCACCACTACAATTTAATAGAGGAAGAGACAAGCATTTATAGTAATTCAGAACCATAAGGTAGATGAGTATGATTGAAGGCAGTTGAAAAAGGCTAAACCAAAAAGGACGGTGTCCAATATGATAATAATCAAGTTAATAACAAGGCGTCTAGAAATCAGCAAGATTAGCTTACTTGAGAAGGCTGGGTCCAAATAGTTACCCTCCCATGAAAATTAGCTATTAGTAAAGCACGAGGGCATGAAGTAGGAGACCACTCAATAAATTGAACAGAATCCCTAGGAGAATCTGCAAATACATCCAGTTAAACTCATTGAATTTAGAAATCATAATATTAGAACCTCAATGAAGAAAAGAATAAGCAAAGGCTAAATTTATAAATATGATTACATAGTAGGGGCAATTATAATGTCAATAAAAAAAAAACAAACCAAATAATGGATGAGGTAAAAACAAAAAGATATGCAGTGTCATATTTCTGGCCTTCTGGGCTCAATCATAAGAGGGACTTTCTAAATGATAGGAGGTTAAAGGCAAACGGGTTCAACAATAAGGTCAAGGACTGGTGGAGTGAGACCGACACAAGAGGTAAAGCAAGTTACAGAGTCGCCCAAAAGATGAAAATTGTTAAATCTGAAATCAAGAGATGGGGCACGGAAGAAAGAAAGGAAGGCATGAATATTCAACAGTTATTACAGGATAGAGAGGAGATTGACAGGAGGGAGAGGGAAGGTGACATGTCCACTGAAAATCTGATTCGCAGGGAAACCCTTAAGTTTGAGTTGCAACGCTAACAATCTACAAGTGGAGGAAATTTCTTGAAAGCAAAAATTGAGATCCAGATGGATAAAGGAGAGTGACGGGAACACAAAATATTTTCACAATGTGGCAAATCATCGCAAAAGAAGAAATTAAATGCAACAGCTGGAGATCGATAGTCGGCTCGTACAAGGGAACAAACAGATTAGGCAAGAGGCTAGAAAGTTTTTCTGCAAGCTCTATAATGAGGAATTCAGTTGGACAACTAAGATTGATGGTGTACAGTTTAGGGAGCTAGATGAGACCAATCGTCTAGCATTGGAGAGAGAATTCACAGAAGATAAGATATTTGTGGGTTTAAAGCATTGTACTAAAGACAAAGCTCCATATCCGAATGGCTTCAATATGGTTTCCACTCAAAAGTTCTCGGAGGTGATGAAGTAAGACACAGTACAGCTGCTTAAGGAATTACATGAGTCAGGGTCTTTTGTTAAACCATTAAATTCCTCGTTTTTGGTTTTCATACCCAACGTGGAAGAGACTATAAACATGAAGGATTTTAGATTCATAAGCTCAGTTGGAAGCATTTACAAACTTATTACAGAAGCATTAGTCAGAAGGATGACAAAGGAGATGGATAAAGTGGTGGAAGAAAGTCAACATGCTTTTGTGGATGGCAGACAAATTATGGATACAGCGCTTGTGGTAAATAAGGTGGTAGATGACCTGTTCTATCATAAGAGGGAGGGAGTCCTTTGCAAGCATGGAGAAGGCTTATGATTGCAGTAGCTGGGGCTTCGTAGATTATATGTTGAAGAGGATGGGTTTGAAGAAAAATGGAGAAAGTGGATTGAATCCTATTACACTCTAAGTTCCTCTACAGTTATGGTGAATGAGGCCCCATCGTCTATTTTTAGGGCTTCTAGAGGCCTCGTATAGGAGGATCCATTGTCTTCTTTACTTTTGATTGTTGTAATGGAAGCGTTAAACATGATGTTACTAAGAACGAGAGAGTTGGAATTATTCAAAAGTTTAAAAGTAGGCAGAGATGATCATATGGATGAGGTTACGAATCTATTTTTTGCGGACAATACTTTAATCTTCTATGTGCGAAAAGAAAGTGCCATGCTTAATCTCATAACCATCCTGTTGAGTTTCCAGGCGGTTCAAAGCGTAACAACAATCAATCTAAATCTGAGATGGTGAGTCAGAAGGAGGTCAGCAAGGGTGCTAGACTATAAAAGGGTGGCAGGTCAGCAAGGGTGCTAGACTATAAAAGGGTGGCAGGTCAGCAAGGGTGCTAGACTATAAAAGGGTGGCACTACCGATCAAGTATTTGGGATTATGTCAGGAACCATTTAGGGTATAATAAAAAGAGGGGTAAAATAAGAAATTCACCTAAGGACAAATTGGCAAAAGCATAGAGCTAGCTAGGGTTAGGGTTGACAAACCCTAACTAGCTCATTAGGACCAGCATCCGCCGCTCAAGCCATCACCTCCCACGGTCCCCGCTACAAGGCGTAACGGCCACCATTTCTGGCCATTAATCTTGTTGTTTTCTATTGTATTTTGGCCTATAAAAGGCTCCTCTTCGATTGTTGTAATCATCATCAGTAAAGAAATAAAATAATCCCCTCATCTCTATATGACTTCGGTCTTCTTTTCTTCTTCCCCTTTTCTTCTTCTTTTCTTCTTCAGATCAAATCCCATGTCTAAAGGTTCTGACAATGTGATATTAGAGCAAGAACCGACTTAATCCTTCGCCGAAGTCACAACCCACACTCAATCAAAAGGAAGACCGCGATAATGGCCGAACCAGAGAAACCCGAGATCGTCGAACTCTCAGTGCAAGAGGTAGATCAGAAGCTTACTTCTTTCATGGAAGAGGTATACGACATGAAGAGGGAAATCTGCCAGCAGCTGAGCACCATCATGGAATGGATCTGCGGGACGCCCTTCGAAGATCGGTCAAAACCGCCGACAAATGCGTGTGAGGAAGCAGATCTGCTTCCCTTCCCGAGTGACACGAACGGGTGCAAACCCCGGACACCAACGAACGAGTGGCCGAAGTCGCAGACGGGATCATGCGAGGAAGGGGGTCTGTTTCCCCTCCCCCGCAGGGCGCAAAGTGCAGGGTGTTCACCCTTATTTAAGTATGATCCACTAGATCGAACCGGACCCGTGGAGGAAGCGAATCGAACCGGTCTGGACAAGACTGAACCGAACCAAACCGGGTTGAAACGGCCCAACCTTACCAGAACTGGGTTGAACCGAACCGGTCCAAACCAAATCGACCAAATGGACACCATGCACTACACTGGGTCTGGCCAATTCCTTTCACTTCCTAAGGTGGAGATTCCATGTTTTAAAGGAATAAACCCTCATGGATGGATTTGAAGATGTGAAAAATATTTTATAATCCACAACACTCCTTATGCATAAAAGGTGGCTATTGCATCATTATACTTAAGAGAAGTTGCCGATATATGATACCGCGGATGGCAAACCAAAATTAATGTCATAAATTGGGAATATTTTGTGGAAGAGCTTTGTCACAAATTTGTGGGACCATCGCGAAAGGATTTGATAGAGGAATTTACCAAACTATCCCAAACAGATATTGTTCTCAACTATCTAGAATAATTTAAACACTTACATTCTCCCATTGATGCAGATAACTCACCACTTTCAAAAAGATTTTTCATATCCAGCTTTATCATATCCCTCATACCACAACTACAACCTATGCTAAGACTCTTCAAGCTGCAAACGTTTAATCAAGCATTCAAACAGGCCTTACTGCAGGAAAAATTTGTTAGAGAATTGTCCCGAGTTCACATTCTACTGATAAAATTGTTAAATTCGCGGAAGTATCTAAAACAAGAAATCATGACAATCGCTCCGAAGGGATATGGAACCTAGAAGAGCAACGAGTACTTGCTACAAGTGTGGAGACCAGTATTCCCAAGACACCGTTGTGCAAACAAAACCATAATGGTCATGGAGGAAATTGTTATAGAAAGGGCTCTGGAAAAAAAGGTTTTCTCAAATCAACCTTGAGAACAAGGTTGATACTCAAGGGGAGGGTATTGTCAGGAACCATTTAGGATATAATAAAAAGAGAGGTAAAATAAGAAATTCACCAAAGGAAAAATTAGTAAAAGCATAGAGCCAGTTAGAACTAGGGTTGACAACCCTAACCAGCTCATTAGGAGCTGCAGCCGCCATTAAAGCCATCACCTCCTGCGGTCACCACTGCAAGGCGTACCAGCCACCATTTCCAGCCATTAATCTTGTTTCTTATTGTATTTTGGCCTATAAAAAGCCCTCCTTCCATTGTTGTGATCATCATCGGAAAAGAAATAAATTCATCTCCCTATTTCTATACGAATTCGGTCTTCTTTTCTTCTTCTTCTCCTTTTCTTCTTCAGATCAGATCCCATGTCTAAGGGTTCTGACATATTACCTCTAAGTGCAAATTATGAAGATGTGAAAATGTGGAACCCAGTGGTGTAAAGGTTCAAGTGAAGACTAGCATGTTCGAAGAGGAAGTTTCTATCCGAAGGGAAGGGGGATTGACACTTATTAAAAGCATGTTGGCTAACCTACCTATTTACTACACGTCACTGCTAACAAAACAAGTAAAGATTACTAAGAAAACGGAGTCTATTCAATGCAGGTTACTTTGGGGCGATATGGAGGAAAGGCGAATGTATCAGTTGGTAAGCTGGAATGAGATTAAAAAACCTATGTCGCTGGAGGGCTTGAGATTGAGATCCTTTGTACAGATGAACAAGGCATTACAAGGGAAATGGTTGTGGAAATTCATGAAAGAGAATGACTTCCTGTGGTGGAGAGTGATTGAGGCCATATTCGGCACAATACATAGCTGATGGTTTCCTAGAGAGACTGCAAGAACGCACGGGAAAAGGATGTGGAGGGAAATAAGCATGAATTGAAACAGATTTCAAAAAAGAATTTTTTTTTAAATAAAAGTATGAAACTTGTATTGATAAGGTGCTAATAGAGGATCGCTCATATACAAAATTTACATCTCAATTCGTATATCTACAATGTCACCTAGATCATCAAAACAATCAAAATTATGCCCTGTTAGAACCAAAGTAGTGAAAGCAATTGTCCTTAACTTTGTTGAAATCAGACTCAATTCTATCAAAAACCCTGTTGTTTCCTTCTTTCCAGATAACCCAAAAAATTGTAAGGGGAATGAGTCTAATAGATTTATTCTTGCTGCGTAATCCCTCCCAGGCCATCAATTCAAGAATGCATTAGGTAGAGCATAGGCTTGCGGGATAGAATTAATTTCTGGAAATACTCCCAAATCGAAGGGGAGCTCTTAAGGTCAATTCTGTCATATATATGTTATTGCAAGGTATAAGGATAACACTGTATATGAGGTGTACAGAGAAAACATACGGAACAGTGAGTGGAGTGCAGATGTTGTGAGAAATCTAAATGATTGAGAGGTGAATGAATATGAGCATTTACTATGTAAACTCTCCAAGATAAGACTTAATGGAAGTAGTGATCAACCATTATGGACCTAAGGAGTAATGGTTTTATTCATGGTCTCGTCATTTTACAACTACTTATGCGAGAACAAAGTTGCACAAGCCAAATTCCCATTTCAGCAAATTTGGAAGGTAAATGTGCCCCCCCAGAGTTGCTTTCTTCGCATGGGAGACAAGACAAAAATGTATTTTGACAATCGATAAACTGATGAGGAGAAAAGTCTTGGTGAAGGGATGCTTTCTCTATGAGAGGGAGGTAGAATCCTGTGGCCACATCATGCTTTGGTTTCCGTTTACGTACAACTTATGGACTATGGCATACGGATTCTCGGGGATAAAATGAGCAATTGTTGGCTCAATGCGAGACGAGTTACGCGCATGGAAAGGCATCACCAAGTTGAAAGAAACACATTGATTTCATTCCTCTTACCTGGGTTGTATTGAAGGAGAGAAATAATAGAGTTTTTGAGAGAAAGGAAGAGAATTTTGCTACACTTTGAGATAGATGGCTCCATTTGTTGGGTCTTTTGGTAATGTGGCACCCTATTTTTTCTGTAGAAGAGTGTGGTGATTTTATTGACATACTAATTGATTTGTAAATAATTTTGTACAAAGATGGCACCCCCTTGATACTATGTTTTGATGATACTTTATACTTTTTATCTCATTCAGGAACCCATGGAAAGCTAAATTTGGAATAGTTTGTACTGAAATGGAACTTTAAAAAAAAATAAAAAGTGTAAAGTATATCTTAACAAGGTACCAAAAAGGGGTACCGCCCATGTGTAGCTTCACAATATGGTTAGAGAGTCAATAACATATCCAAAATTCTCATCACTAATAATATCATAACCTAACAAACTAGTCCCAAAATAATGAAACCATCTATCTCTTAATTTATACAAGTCCAGGTTAATGCCATCAAAGATTTTAGCATTTCTCTCTTTCCAAATAACCCAAAAGATGGTCAAAGGAATTAAATTTGCTATTTTCCTATTGACATCAATCCCTTCCCAACCCATAACTCTCCCCAGGAATAGTCCTAGAAATTATCCAATTAATTCCTAAAAGCCCATAGATCATGCTCGAAAGTTCGTATGTCACAGGGCACCAAAGAAGTAAGTGATTAAAAGATTCTTCTGCTCTCAAACAGAGGTAACAACAATTTACTATAATCTGCCCCTTTTTTCCTAAGTTTATCAATGGTGAGTATACATTCTCTGCAGGCTTCCCACGTGAAAAAAGCAATTCTCAGAACTAACTATAATATAACAAGTTAATGTACATTAACAGTGTACGATCAATACATACCGGCTATTACATTGAAGACTGCACATTCTGTTGGCCGCTCGGGAATCATAATATGTATGGGGATCCAAAATGGGTGGTTTGCATTTGAACTACAAAAAATGAATAATGACGCAACAAAAAAATTATAATCATCACATTTCATCAAAAACCAAAGCTTTCATTAACTTTCACTCACTGAAAAGGGAGGAGGCACAGAGAAAACAGGAATTTATATGCATGTCAAGGTATGTATTTTAGCAAATCTATAGAAATACAACCCAAAAGTTAACACGAAAAAGATAACAACTCTTTCTGGTTATTTTTTTTACCTACTACATGAGCAGGTGTTCAATAATCTGTTGGTTGAGATATTTCTGCACTAGTAATTTGTTCAGAATGATCAAAAACAGGCAACAATTAGAAGAAAATAACATGTCAAAAACTAAAATTATATAAACATCCATTATGACCCAACATTCAACTCCAAGTAATATTTTTGTTCCACCTTCAGCACAAATTTCATTTTCAGACAAATAATCAAACTCAAACCTGACATTTTTCAAGGCATGCTAACCGAAAAAAGTCCATTTTTGCCAATGAATTTCAAAATATGTGCTCCTACAAACATGAACAAATAAGCTACAGTTCTGTAACGGGAGAAAAGAATACGAACCAACCTTGGGATTCTTGCACAAGTTTCAGATGCACAAGCTATTCCATTTAGCTTCCCACACCAAGCAACAGCACTGAAAGAACAGACAGAAGACAATTAGCACTTAAAAGGTAATATCTAAATATCCAAAGGGGAAAAAAAGAGAGCAGAGACAGGCTCATACTGATGGACAAAACATCATTCACTTGAAAACAAGCATATAAGATATGAATTCTATGGAAGAACCGCCAGGTATCAACCCAAATAAGAGACAGCTATCAAGCCAAAGAAGAGAACAAAACAAACTTTTAGTTAGTTACTTCATATAAAGTATTTTGTACTTCTAATGCTCATCCTGTGTCTGCCATAAGTTTTGTGCAGCAACAAGAAAACTGGTGCAATGTCCCATGTAACTCTTATTTGTCCTAGATAGTAGAGGTCAGTTACCCAAGCTGCCAAGCATCCTTGTATCTAGCTAGGTGAACAGGTTAAGAACTTGAATATGAAGAGGTGCAGACTTCAGCCAACTTTCAAGCCAGCCAAAACAGAAGAGGATCACAACTCCCCAAGCTTGAAGCTGATCCCTAACGAATTACTGCTAAGTTCCTCTGATACTTCTATTTTTTGAAATATTCCTCTGATACTTCTAAATGCATGTGTCATGCAATCTATTACACTCACCAAAATGCCAACCGATATGCTTGTGCCCATACTTCAGCATTCAGAACTCTTTTTCATAACATATCTGGACCAGCAGCAACTGTACCAAGACAATTAGGCTTCCTAATTTACTATCGTTTTCTTATTAGGTTGATCATTTTAAGTTGCTAAACTAATTTAGGGAAACTTAAGACACAAGAGTTTTCTTCTTGGTAGTTTCATTGTTAGTATTTCTATCCTCTGCAGAAGAAGCATGGTATTTTATAATAGAAATTCCGCACAGAATTTTACTCTCAGTTTCCAAGTTTTTTTTTTTTTTTGAGATAATTGCTTTTAACCCCCCCAAAGCCCAACCACCTTCTGGACCAAACCAATTTCCAACCACCTTAATGCCACCGCATTGGTGAGAAGCCTGTGCTACCAGGCTCGGCACTCTCAGTTTCCAAGTTATAATCCGTAAAGCTACAGCCCAAGTTTCTCCAACCTTCTTCCCCTATATCAATTGGTATCAAAGCCAAACAAATCTTATTTAAAAGATTGCTCCATGGAAAACAAGAGTATCCGGGCTACGCCCAGCCCAAAAAATTAATCAGATGGAAGAGAAAGAGGTGACATAAAACAGGAAATACATTATCTATGCATAGAACATGAGGGAGTCCAAATGGAGATACTAGAGAACTACTGTGATCCCCTGAAGCTACCTAAAGGAAGTATTCTGAATGTTAAAACATACATAGGTTGAAGATAACCACCAATCAATAATGAAATCAGCTGAAGAATGTCAATAAGTAAGCAACGAAGGGGCTTTTCAAGTTTCCTATGGAAGTCAAGAACAAGCCAATTCAATTTTCATTGCTGAGTTTGCAAAAATCAATCAAGAAAGGGAAGATTACTTGGACAAGGAAATAAAGCAAAGTTCAAATAAGGATGCAAAGCTACTTGAATGTTCATATTAACATAGAAATTCTATGCTTCTTAGATAGACAATTGAATAGAAAAGTCTCCTGCATGTGAACAACTATAATTTTTGGATCTACATGGAGGGACAAACAAGGTCCCAGATGTGGAGGATTGTTTGATAATCTGTTTCGTCGTGGCAAACAATCAAATTTGAGGATGAGTTTTTTGCTCCTAACCTGGGGAAAACTCATGCAGGAAAAAATTAGGGTCACTAATTTACTGCTAATTTGGTTTTTCTCATTTAAGTTATATATTTATTTTTAAGTTGGGTTCTTTATTGTATTGTTTATCCTTTTCAGGAAACAAATTGCAGACAGAAAACTGTTAACACAAAATTTTCCCTTGTGGTAGTTTACTTTCCTAGCATTCCTATCCTCTGTATAAGCAGAGGCATAGCATTCTATTAAGCAGTTCCTTTTGTCAGAATTAATAGATTCTTTGCAGAGATTTTCTCATAAGTTCCTTGGTAATATCTAGATGCATCAAGCCAACTGCATGCCAGGTACTTGTGACACGTACTTGATGGTTGAGTGCCAAAAAAAGGGGGTTTGATGAGAAAGAAATGAGAGAAAAGAGAGGAAAAGGATGAAAAACAGAGAGATGAAAGGAGATTTGATGAAAAATTAAACTCAACATAAGGCTTACCATGCAAGGATTACAGAAGTACACACATATTTAAACTAGAAAGGAATGAAAATCGCCATGAATCACCAGAGTTTCACCAGGAAACCCAAGAGATGAAAACCCTCGACGATGAGTGAGGTTCTGGCCTCATTGTTTCTCTTTATATATGCCCTCTTGATCTATCACCACGTGTCCTTAGTGAATCACGGATTGCAGACACATAATCCTCCTTCCTTTTTCACTTGATGACTCCATGTGGCCCCTGTTTATCTTCAGATGATGACACGTATTTTCCCATCTTTTATAAACCTTTAATGGTGCCGGTTCTCTGTTCCCTGTTCTACTTTCTTCCCTGTAAGCTTGCTCAGATCCCCTACTTCCACCACTATCCTTTTTTCTGTGTTCCTGTCCTGATTCTGTGCTTCCCTGTCTATTTTCCTTCTGGTGCGCCTCGTTCCTAACACTGCAGTGTTCATTGTTTAACAGAGCTGCTTCTCTCACCTTCTTCCCCTCCGCCAGCAACCCATAAAGACACTTCCACCGATAGAGACTACTGAGGCCACATGTAGATTTTAAAAAGTAGACCATCTTGCAGAAAAGGATTCTTGATATCATCCCAGCCAACCAAATGTAACTTCTTGGCTCACCAGTGTCTCCCCACAAAGCCTGCACTGACTCGTCTCCAACTTCTTGGCAACCAATTCAGGAATTCTGAGGAGAGAGATGTAACAGAATAGAAAATTTTATAGGGTGCTCTTGGATAAAGTTAACCACTCCTTTTAGAGGAAATGAACATTTCCACCCAGCAAACAGCCTCTGACCTTTTGGAACAACTAAGTATCACATAACCTAGCATGCAAGTGATTTATACCAAGTAAAGGCATAGTATACAAAGGAGGCTAAAAAATAGAGCTTGCAGGGGTAGAGAGAAGGAGAGACACGGGGAACCATCCCCTCCCCTTAGTCCAAAATTTTTAAATGCTTTTTATGTAGAAATGCTGAGTTGTTCGAGATGTAATATGCAAAATCACCCTGAATCTCAACTTCAATGACATTCTGTATATGCAAATATTATAATTCCTTGCATAGAAATAAATAAAGAAGAGAAACTTATTTATCTTGATTAAAGTCATATAAGATTTGATCATAATTCACTGTGAAAAAAGTGAAAAACGTAAATAGTAGGAATAGAAAATATTTTTATCACAGCTGTACATGGGTTTGGCACCCCCTTGGTGCCATTATTAATACTATACACTTGATATTTCAAAAAAATATATTTTGTTTATCATAACAAGGAAGAAGAAAGAACTAAGCTTTTATATAAGAAGCCCCCAGACCCCATCCATTTTTTACAACTTAATCTCCTTCCCCCCTGCCTGCCCCCCAACCACCGAAACCCCCCAATTCAAAAAGAAAAAAAAAAACTAAGATATCCTCGTTGTGTTATTAACATTTTGCTTTTGGGAATCCTCACATCTAGAGAGCCTTACCCACATGACAACTTTCTCCTATGTAACAATCATTAACATAAATTATAATTCAAGAAAAAACATTGTTTTCCCATACAATGTCAAGAAATGTAAAGGAAATGGAATTATATCTCTTGATCTCAACAAAACAGCAATTACTGATCAAATACCAAACTCATCAAATGGTAGGATTTAAGGATAAGTAACAATAGCAGAAAAGAACATAGACTTATTTCGAGCTCGATTTTTTCCTCCAAATTGAGCCGAAAGGACAGCACAGTCAAATTTTTAGCACGAAAAAAAAAACAGAAATTTTAATTATTTTTCACATAGAATAGGTGAGTTGTTTGAGGCGTAATGCCACAGGTTCCCCCTCAATTTTTGGTCTTCACTGATAAAGAAGCTTACATACGCAAACATTTGATTTTTTAGTATAAATGAAATAGAACAAAAATAAACGAAGAAAGAAATAACGAATGTAAAAATTTATGTGGCTTACCTAAGTTAATATGAAACTCAATCATTATTCACCGAGAAACAAGTAAGACTTATAAATAATAGCAGCAAAAAGAGCTTCAAAACAGTCAGACGCCGAGCTCTTTACTAATTTTAAGTTCAACTTCCCTCAAGGTCAAGTTCAAAGGACAGCGCACTCGAATTGTTTTTAGCACAAGAAACAGAGACCAAACAAGAAAATAGCTGATCACGAGCTCAAACTCCAAAAATTTGTGGCAACGCGAACTGTACCTGAAATTGCGGCACAGTTCAGGAACACTCATCTTATGCTGCAAATTGGACCGAGGCTGCTTAAGCCTGATGCAAAACACGGTGGCCGGACTCACAGAATCCTCCTCCATCGGATCCCCAAGTTTCTCCATGGAATCTTCCTCAAGTGCTGCACCACTCGCGACGGGCTCCGCTCCACCTCCTTTCTCGGAGCCCTTAGCTGCCGCTCCAGCAACTGCACCTGCCTCCAACTGAACCGTCGCCCCCTCCTCCTCCCCCTCCTTAACAGCAGTACCAGCACTTCCGCTTCTCGCGGAGCTCACCACCTGTTGCTGCTGCTGCTGCTGGGGCAGTTGTTGTTGTTGTTGTTGCTGCTGCTGCTGATTCATATCAACAAAACAACAAACCCTAAAAATCTATATATATAAAAATATATAGCTCTAAAGAGAGAGAGAAATGTCGTGCTGAGTGGTGTAAAAGTCGCAATTGAGGGCGACACATAACACTGTAGAGAGAGAGAGATAGAGAGAGAGTAGTGGGGTTAGTATGGGTGGGTTTCTCAGGGGGAAATTGAATTTTGTTTCTTTTTGTTTTGTTTTTTTTTTTTTTTGTTAGGGTTTGCTTTGAAGCAGATTGGTGTGGTGTTGGAGATAAAAGATTCGAGAGGAGACGGTCTGGTTAGAAAGTTCGGTGTCAACGTCTGTTGTTTTGTGTTTCAGAAAAAGGGGTTTAGTGGGTTTGTGCTGCGTCATGTGCGCCTTACTGCTTTTTTTTTCCTCTTAACAATTCTCAGTCGGGCCGGGTAATGCTGACTGGGCGGATCGGGTTTGAGTGGATCAGGAGCAGATGGGCCGGGCTTTACCGGGACCAGGAGTGGGACACTAGTTTTTTTATTTGAATAATTAATTTGGCATATTTTTTATTTAAAAATTCATAATATGATATTTTCGAAAATATAATTAATTTAGTCTATTTCAAATTATATCGAATTTGATGAAATTTAAAAAAAAATAAATTATATTTAAACAATTATATGAGTTATACGATGAATTATTTAGAATATATAAAATATTTGACTTAAAAAATTAAATTGAGATTTTTAAACTATTCCATATAAGAAAAAATAAAATTGTAGAAAAATCAAATATTTATTTAAGATCTTAGGGTGAGCAATTAATTAAATGTTCTTCCAAAAATAATAATAAATTAAAAAAATACAAAATATTTAGAAACAAAATAAGATATTATTTTACAAATAATTTAACAGACTTTGATTTATTAAATTAATCAATAGACCGAATATATTTATCTTCACTTAAACTCATGTATGTGAAATTACAGTTGCAAGTTATCAAGTTAGTCTATAAATTTTAAATTTTATTGTAATATAATATTTAATAGTTTCTATTATAATTTTATTTATTATATTTATTATTTGTTTTAAACATCTGGTTTCACATTATTTATTAACAAAAAAAAATTAAAATGTTTATGATATGAACATTTAAATAAATAATTTTATAAAATAATTTTGACTAAGTAATTAAATTAATAAAATAAATGTGTCTTATTAACCTTTTTTTTTTTTTTTGAAAATGTTGAATATACCCATAACACTGAGTTTGATGTTACTCCTCACGATAGACATGTCAGATCTAAAGCATCCTAATTCAATTGAATAAGATGACAGTTTATTATTTCTAATATGTAAAATAATGATTTCGATCAAATAACACATCGCAGTGTCCTAGACCTTCTAATTTTTTAAAGGATTTATCTAAAAGATTTGCAATATAGCTACGAAGATGTTTCAAATATTTTGTTTAGTTTTTTACATTTTCTATAAAAATGTTTATGTCCTTGGTTTCATCTGATGGACCCTGTTCAAACCGATTCAAATATAACAAATATGTATATGTACAGAAAATGTAACGCCCCCGAAAATTTAAAATGAAATGTATATTAAAAATATCAAATGCGGAAACGAAGTCAAAATTTGAATAACATCCCTTACACTAAAACCAAAAACATGCTCACAAAATATAAAAGATCAAACTATCTAAAGGAGAAACTTGAAAGTAAAAGTTACGAATATGACTATGGAGTCTTTAGGCGTCCCTTTCGTCGTCCTCCTGCAGAACCGGCTCGGGAACGATGTCCTCTTGATCTAAAATGATTAAATAAGGAATGAGCTACACTAACCCAGTAAAAACATCACGATATCTCACCATCACGGAGGTAAAGGTGAGTAGAAAACACAAAAAGACCAATGGAGCATAATTTACAACAAATCCTTTTATCAATAATAAAACATTTACCATTCACTTACCTCGATAGAATCCATAAAACAGTGTACGAAAGCAATAACATCATCATCATCATGAAATCATATATAAATTGTATAACATAATACTTATCAAGCCTTTCGTAATTCAATTGTTACACAACATATTTTCCTCATTTACCAGCCCACTAGTATCCATGGGGATCCATAGGGGTCCCGCTACCCGTTAACCCTTAACACTTGAAATTATTTTTCCAGGGCAGTCCCCATACCCCGTCCGGTATGGGCGCCAAAACTATAGACCTCATTACCCCGTCCGGTATGAGGGTGAAACGGGCCGTCCCCATACCCCGTCCGGTATGGGCGCCAAAACACATAAGATCTCCATACCCCGTCCGGTATGGGAGACAACAATCCCGGTAGGGTTCCTTACGGACCCGGTCCGTCCACCATCTCCCAGGATATCTAGTCAGGCTGACCACATTATACAGTTACTCATTTACATAATCTATCATTCTATTTTCCCTCAGTCAGCATCATCAATCCACATACAAACAAGCAAAACAGTAATTTATGCCAAACAGACAACATACAGCATCAATATCCCAGTCATTCAATCCATAATCAATAAAACAGTACAATATGCACACAAAACTATAAAATGAAAACATCAAACATCATACTGCATTTAAAACTGTAAAACAGGCCAAATAACAGTTAACCGACAACCACACTAGACTCGGGCTCCATTAGCGACCTTAAGCAATTTCACACATTCGTTGATTCATGAAATACCATTTTATCATTTATTGAACTTTAATACCGTGATAGGAAATAGGGTGAGGGGTCCTTACAAGTTTCGGGGTCCGAACACGGCTTCACAGTGCGCCTACAGGCTGTCCCTAATTTTCCCTGAATTTTTCTCGGGGAACTGAAACGCACTACTAGTACCTGCACGTGTTCCAAAAAAATCCCAAATTAGGCCCAGGGCCCCTTTCGGCCAATATCGCATTTCCAGCACGGCGGCTCCGTAGTGCTCCGGCGACGGCGCCGCCGCTTACGGCGACGATTCGCCTCGGTTTAGCCGTTTTCGGCCGTTTCCGGCCGAATTCAGCCACACTTGTATCGATCCTTGCGATTAAACAACTCTAGGGCCCTCGGGGGGTCAAAAAATTACAGAAAACCGAAGCTTACCGGCGGCGGTGCTCTCGGATGCGGCGGCTCTCCGGTGAAGTTCGTGTTTTGGTGATTCGGCTCCGATCAACCTGTAGAGAAAAGAATGGTGATCACGGTGATATAAAAATTGCATTAAACGGAGGCCGGGAAGGGCCTCATCGGAGGCAAAAACCGAGGAGGGGCGCGGCGGCGGCGCTGGGCTTCGGCCGTGTTTTCCGGCTGTTTGGCCGGATTTTGGCTCCGATTTGGCCACAGGGGAAATCAGCGTGGAAAAACGAGTCGGGGTATGAAATTTACCTCGATCGGCGGTCGGAAATCCCTCCGGTGCGGCGGTGGGTGGCGGCGGCCGACTTCTGGTTCATCTTCTCCGGCGAGGGCAGGCGGCTAGGGTTTGTGGTCTGGTGTGGGGTCTTATTTATACCCTTTTGCCTTTTGATCTCAGCCGTCCATTTTGATTTAATCTGGGCCGTCCGTTTTTGATTGAATCTGGGCCGTCCGTGCGATTGCATCTGGGTCGTCCGATCGCACGTTCGATATGGGCCGTCCGATCGCACGTTCGATCTGGACCGTCCGATCGCGCATACGCGGATCGCCAACGTAGCCCGTCCTGGATCGACGTGGTCTTGCCACGTGGCAGGTCCCGGTTGGCCGGGACTGCTGACTAAGTCTGCTGACGTGGCTGCTGACGTGCCCCCCCCTCCTTTTTTTTTTCTTCAATTTCCCGGGCGCTACAGAAAGTAAATAAATACAATAATTGAAATAAAACTTTATATTAACTCAATTTAATCTCACAACTCATCATTGGAATTTGCTAAATATATCAACTAGAAAAAGGAAGAAAATCAATCACTAATGGTGGACTTTTTTAACACAAAATGAGTTTTCTTGAGAATAAAGAAAAGAAGGAAGATGAAGGGAAGATGTGGTTGTAATAGATGTTGCTCTTAGCGGCAGCGGATGAAAAGAATAAGATGTTTTCTGCTTAGCAACTCCATATTTTATAACCTAAGGAGGTTAGGGTTTTTTTTTATATTGAGATCTTTCTCAAAGATTTCTCAAATATTTCAGGCATCATATTTCAGCTGGAATATAATTTTTTTCAGATTTAAAAAGCGCGCATTTTTCTTCAAATAGATTGTTATTCGCGACGTAAGCCTTGG